GGGAACACTGCCGTCCGGAGCTGGCCGTTGAGGTCTTTCTGACATTGTTTCTGGCACCTTTTCTGACTTATCTTCTGACATCCTTTCTGACACTCTTGCTGGCATATCTTCTGAGATTCTTTCTGACATTCTGTTTGGCATATCTTACGACACTCTTTCTGGCATCTCTTCTGACATTCACTCTGGCACTCTATCTGGCATATCTGCTGACATTCTTTCTGACAATCTTTCTGGCAAAGCTTCTGACATTCTTTCTGACGTTCTTGCTGGCATATCTTCTGAGGTTCTTTCTGACATTCTTTCTGGCATATCTTCTGACATTATTTCTGAAATTATTTCTGTCACTTCTTTGGACATTCTTTGTGGCATATCTTCTGACATCCTTTCTGGCATATCATCTTCTGACATTCTATTTGGCTTATCTTCTGACACTCTTTCTGGCGTTCAATCTGGCATACATATCTTCTGACTCGCGGTTGAGGTCCGCCGGGGAACTTCCGTCAGGAGCTGGCGGTTGAGATCCGGCGGGGAACACTGCCATCGCGAGCTGGCGGTTGAGGTCCGGCGGAGAACACTGCCGTCCAACACTTGCGGTTGAGGAGGCGAGGAGGAGGAGCAGGCGGGACGCGAGGCAGCTGACATAAAAACCTAATAACCTCACCTGACAGGTGGGAAATTACTTTACTTCGAGCGAACCCCACCATGACATTTCAGTCTGACAATTTTTCTGGCGTGCATTATGTATTGAAACATTACTTCGGCATTCTTTCTGGCATATCTTCTGACATTCTTTGACAGTTTTCTGGCATATCTTTTTGACATTCTTTCCAGCATATCTTCTGACATTCTTTCATTTGATATTTTCCGGCATATCTTCTGACATTCTTTGTGGCATTTTTTCTGCAATGCTTTCTGGCATCTCCTTTGACACTCTATCGAGCATATCTTCTGACATTCTTTCTGGCGTCTCTTCTCACACTCATTCTGGCATTCTATTTGGCATATCTTCTGACATTCTTTCTGACATTCTGTCTGTTTGGCATCTCTCTTGACATTCTGTCTGACATTCATCTGGCATATGTTCTGTATATCTTCTGACTCAGATGGCAGCCAGCCTTCAGTAGCAACTGCCATCAAAAAGAGGGCGTGGGATGTCTTGGGTTAAAGCTAGACCCCAAAACCCAATGCTGGTGAATGTCCACCAATAAGTTTCAATCGTACTGGTACCTACATATCAAAAGCTTGTCAATGCTTGATAAGGCATTGGAGGCCTACAAGGAGAACTGCCTGAAATTCAGGAACTGCATGCCAGAGGTTCGTTTTTGTTTCCTGAGATTTCTACCAGTTTCCACTTGGTCGGCTACATGCCACTTGCTCCTGCCCTGTTGCTCAGGGTGGAGCTGGCCCTCCTTTCCTTGCCACTTGATTATTTGGATCATGGATGATCGTGGTAGGACTGCGAGAGTTTTCAAATTTTTCCATTCAGTGGCATTGCGAACCAGGCGTAGCCAATGATTCCAACTTTTCCACTCTGTATAAAATTGAAGTGCGTTTCTTTGCTTTCAATTTTCAATGTTTTCATGTTGAGGCAATGGCGATTTTGCGTCCCGGCCTTGGTGCCAAGCTGTTGTAATGTTTGGTGTCGATTTTGTAATCTCCTAAGAACCTAATAGCGATGGCCTCCAACCTACTAGCGATGGCCTCCAACCTACTAGCGATGGCCTCCAACCTACTAGGATGACCTCTCCCACTAGCGATGGCCTCCAACCTAATAGCAGTGGCCTCCAACCTACATAGCGGTGGCCTCCAACCTACATAGCGATGGCCTCCAACCTACTAGAGGGATGGCCTCCAACCTACTAGCGATGGCCTCCAAGCTACTAGCGATGGCCTCCAACCTGCTAGGGATGGCCTCCAACCTACTAGCGATGGCCTCCAACCTACTAGCGATGGCCTCCAACCTACTAGGATGACCTCTCCCACTAGCGATGGCCTCCAACCTAATAGCGGTGACGATGAATTCAACATGTCCTAGTTTCAGTGTCCAGACTAGCTCACAGAGGTTCAGAGCTGATACTTGACCACTTGTCAGAAATTTTCAAGAATGACAACGCTTGCTTCGTGAAACATATCATAGTAGTTTGTTTTTCCCCACCTGCCAGGTGAGGGTTGTTAGATTTTATCACAGTTGTCCTTCCTCCGCCTCCGCCTCCGCCGCCTCCTCGTCCTCCTCCTTCCTCCTTCCTCCTTGCTTCCTTCCTCGCCAATCTTCATCGCCAATCTGCTTCGCCGATCTTGTCTGGCCAGCTCCGGATCGCAGTGTGCACCCCTGGACCTCAACCGCAAGGATCCCCTCGCAGTGTGCACCCCTGGACCTCAACCGCAAAGATCCGATCGCAGTGCGCACCGCTGGACCTCAACCAGATAGTTTGCCAGATAAAATCCACAAACACACAATCACAAACACACGACCACAAACGCGCAACCACAAACACACAACCACAAACACAATCACAAACCCACAATCGCAAACACAATCACAAACACACAACTACAAACACAACTACAAAGACACGATCACAAACACACAACCACAAACACAAAACCACAAACACACAACCACAACCACACAACCACAAACACACAATCACAAACACAATCACAAACACAATCACAAATACAATCACAAACACGCAACTACAA